TATTTTCTTTTGATCCCCAAATTGGTTCAAAGAAGGAAACTCCCCTAACAGCTTGGGGGGGGGGGGGGGATGGCCAGGGCACCTGGCAGCCCATTGGTAGATCTCCCCTAAAAAGACCTGCCCCCCCCCCCAGGCATATTATCAGTATTCCATCTTATTATTGAGAAAACAAGTAGCACATTTAAGAGTAGCCACTTTTACAGTGGTCCTGGAGAAGACTCTTGAGAGTCCCTTGGACTGCAAGAAGATCAAATCAGTCAATCCTAAAAGAAATCAACCCTGACTGTTCCCTGGAAGGCCAGATAATGAAACTGAAGCTCAAATACTTTGGCCACCCAATGAGAAGGGAGCACTCACTGGAGAAGACCCTGATGTTGGGAAAGATTGAAGGTCAAAGAAGACGGGGACGGCAAAGGAGGAGATGGTTAGACAGTGTCATAGATGCAACGTACATGAAATTGAGCCAACTTCAGAGGACGGCAGAAGACAGGAAGGCCTGGTGTGATCTGGTCCATGGGGTCGCGGAGAGTCGGACTTGACCGTGCGACTGAACAACAACAACTTTTACAGTCCATGAGTTTTTGTAGGATACTTCATCGGAGCTGGCAGGATTCACATATTACAGACCATTCTAAGCCAGACGATCCCATACCACAAACAAGACCTATTTACCGGGGCCTTCACACACTCACTGTCCTGCTTCCTATACTTAATTACCTCATACCTGTTGCTTCCTCTGTGGAGCCACAGTAGCCACAGGGGGTTTAAAATTAGTGGACAATATGGCTTCTGCTTGGTGGTGAGAATTAGACTCCTCAGAGGGCTGCAGGTGTGCAAACGGCCAGCCTGGAGTGTAATTTGGCTTAGGGGCAAAGGATACCTTGGTCTGAGACCACTAAATGTCACAAAAGTGTACTCAAAATGCCCATTGTGTGTACAGAATGTATAATCCTCAAAGGTCTGACTTGGTAAGACAGGTTGTTCCATCGAGCTGATTGAGTAGATCAGGGATCGGGGCAGAGGATATCTATCCTATTCAGGGCATGGTGGTCATCACAAAGGCAAAGCGCTCCGGATTTCTTTTTGACAAAGAGGGAGGGGCTGCTGCAGGGAGGATGGAGGCCAGATAAATCCTCTGGCCAGGTTCTTTTCAATGAACTCTCTCAAGACGGAATACGGTCGCCCTGCTGGAATTGGGGTTCCAGGGATCAGATCAACAGAGTTGTCGTCGTCGTGTCCACTTCTTTGAGACTGAAGACATCAGCATAATCAAGGTATTTAGGCAGGCGGTCGGTTAGGTCCACAGAGGGCAATGGCCCCAGCAGTTTGGATGGCTCCTAGGGGTATGAGGACTGGAAGGCCACATGTTCTTGGCCCCCAAAGAGTGTGGGTTTGTGCAGGGTGAGTAATGGCATCCCCAGGACTACTGGGAAGTGGGGGGAGGTAGCCAGGCAGAGAGAGATCATCTCCTGATGGTTCCCCATCATCATCCTCAAGTGAAGACTCTGAAGAAGCGAGCAGTGACTCGCCGCAAATTCTGTTAGTCTTTAAGGTGCTACTGGACTCTTTTCTCCTGTCATCCTCAAAGTCACAGGTCCCAATTTCAAGGGCCTTCCCTTAATGGTTTCTACAGTGACAGCCACTGGCTTGGGCTGGGCTGATACGGCTGGGCAAAGCTGATGTCCACGGCGTTGCTAGAACCCCCAGAGTCAACCATTCCAGTAGATTCTCAAGCTGGGCATCAGTACAGAGGCACGGATGGATGAGACCCTGCAGGCTTTGTGGCTGGTCAGCCTGAGCCACCTCATCCAGTACCTGACAGGCCTTCCTGAAACTGGTTGGCCATGTGGCATCATTCCACAGAAGGTCCCGGGCCAGGAAGAGGCATTTTGTCACACGGGCAGCAGCTGACTCCATGTCCCAGCGGAGCCTCCATATTTTCCGACTAGCGGTCTCAGCCTTTAGAGCGCTCTGTGGGTGGGCCACAGCCCACGGCAGCAGGAGGGGATTATCCTGTAGCAACAGAGACACAGCCCATGTGCCTGCAGCCCCTGGGGCAGTCGTCAGGGAAATCTTCCCATCTCAATGCTACAAATGGTCTGCGCTGAGCCAAGAAGGAGGGAAGCAGGTTTGGATCATCCTGGAACTGGAAGCAAGGAGTAGGAGCCGGGGGGACACTGCCAGCCCCTCATGGGCCAGTTCTGCCCTGCAAAGGTATTCCAAAGTTCCCTGTTCTCTTCCCCACCGTGTCTCTGGCTCCTCGGAGCCTTCCGAGTCGGGAGTCCAGAGCCAGCTCAGGCAGGGGGGTCTTCATGACGTCGAGAACAAAAAATAAAGTGTGAAGCATGTCCCAAAATGAAATGACCACATGTCTGGGAGCAGCAGAAGCTCCCCACCCCCAAAGCCCATGATCCTCGGTTCCAAAGACACCAGGTCCCAAGACAGTGACAGTGGATTCTGGCATCAGGACTTTGTGGGTTAGAATCACAGCGTTGGAAGGGGCCATACAAACCATCCAGTCCAACCCCCTGCTCAATGCAGGACCAGCCTAGAGCATCCCTGACGGGAGTTTGTCCAGCCGCTGCTTGAAGATTGCCAGTGACTACCACACAAGCTCCCTGCATGCCTCTCTTGGCCCTCAGACACTCACAAGCTGATTGGATATGAGTTGGGAGGTACCTCCAGGGTCATCTTGTCCAACCCCCTGCACAATGCAGGAAATTCACAAATACCTCCCACACCCCCAGTAACCGCTGCTCCTTGCACAGAAGATGGCAAAAAGCCTTTCCAGGATACCTGGCCAAAATGGCCTGGAGAAAATTGCTTCTTGACCCCCAAAGTGGCGATCAGCATTTCCCTGGATGTATGAGAAATGGCTGTGAGAACTAAGCACTGATGCAACCTTTCCTGCCCTCCCTCTCACGATCTCCGTAAGTTCACTGTACTTAGAGCAGAATATTTCAGGACATGCTTATAGGAGGGATAAGTTTGTGCAATCACAGCAAAAACAAGTGCTGTCATTGAACATGAAAGCGCTCGAAACCCACCCGTAAAATACCAAGGATTATAATCTGACAAACAGGGTAACCCCTTCCATTCTCTTCTCGATCAAACCTATTGTTTGATACAACAGAAATGGAGATTTTTCTTGGTGTATTGCAGAATTTAGGGGCTAAGCAAGGAAACACTGTCTCATTAAGCAGCTGATCTATTCCTAGGATTCTTCTGTGTATGTGACGCATTTGCACAGTCTTTGCATATTTAAATGTCAGAGCATAAACAAGTTGGGCTCCATACAAGTTTCATTTAAATGATGCTAATTCATCATATATTAGCACATTTTTTTAAAAAAAGATACGATATCTGCACAGTACCAACATTCTCTCTTTATAATTTCTGAATATTCCTTCTTTTGTATGTTGACTGGAGTGATAGTCTGAATTGGCCCATTAGGGGTTCACCAAATGACATTCAGACACAAAGCAAAAGAAATGTGGTTTTGCTTGGTCAGATAATATATTTTGTCCTATATATTCCAGTGATATATATAGAAATTCAGATTAGAGTCTTTATTAAGAACATGCCTGCAGGCTATCTCACAGCATAATGGCCTGAAGGGTGCTCACACAAATGTGTTTGCAGGGCTGAGCTGTACGGATGCTGTAGCTTCACAAATATTGGACTTAACAGTTCCAAAAAAGGAGAAAATTTGTTTAGTGAATATGTGCTTGGTCAGAACATGTTCAGCTTACTGAACAGTAAAGATTCGAAGTATCACAAGAACTTCAGAAGAGCCCTGCTGGATCAGACCAGGGAGGGTCCATCTAGTCCAGCATTCTGTCTCACACAGGGGCCAGCCAGTTCCTCTTGAGGGCCAACAGTAGGGCAGAGAGGCCGAGGCCTTCCCCTGATAAGACCCTCAGAAGAGCCCTGCTGGATCAGACCAGGGAGGGTCCATCCAGTCCAGCCTCCCGTATCACACAGCGGCCAGGCAGTTCCTCTGGAGGGCCAACAGCAGGGCAGAGAGGCCAAGGCCTTTCCCTGATAAGAACCAAAGAAGAGCCCTGCTGGATCAGACCAGGGAGGGCCCATCTAGTCCAGCCTCCCGTCTCACACAAGGGCCAACCAGTTCCTCTGGAGGGCCAACAGGAAGGCAGAGAGGCTGAGGCCTTCCCCTGATGCTGACTCCTGGCTCTGGGAGGTTCCCCTCAGCCACCATGGCTAGTAGCCACTGATAGGCGTATCCTCCCTGAATCTATCCAGTCACCTTTTCAAGCTGTTTGTTCCGGGGGCCACCACTACATCCTCTGGCAGCAAATTCCACATTTTAATCACTCTCTGTGTAAATTAGTATTTCCTTATAAGAACATATTGTATGATTTGAAGGCCGCTGGTTGTGCAATTTAAAACGTCTCCAGCGACAGTTCTCAGACTCTGGTGTGTTGTGATTTCTGTTCACTGGGTTGGATCCCACTAGCTTATCCGCCAGTGAAAGAGGGAGGAGCTATGCTGGAGACAGATCACGGGACCTGCATGGACAAAAGCTGGGGGAATATGGGGCCATAGGTAGTAAAACCTGGTTAGATCCAACCAGGGCTCTTTTTGTAGAAAAAGCCCAGCAAAGGAATTCATTAGCATAATAGGCCACACCCAACCGTGGAAACTCATTAGCCTATTAGGCCATGCCCCCGACAGAGCAGCTCATTAGCACATTACCAGAAGTGTGCTCATCCAGCCACACCCACCTTTTGGCTTGTTACTCTCTTTACCTTGTTTGTTGTCAAAACCCAGGGCTTTTTTTGTAGCAGGAACTCCTTTGCATGTTAGGCCACACACCCCTAATGTAGCCAATCCTAATGAGTTCCTGCTGTTAGGTGTGGCCTATTATGCTAATGTGTTCCTGCTGGGTGTGGCCAACTTGGGAGCCAGCTGGAACTCCATTCCTGTGCGTTCCTGCCCAAAAATAGCCCTGGACCCAACCCATTATCAACAACAACAACAACAATAAATATCTGCATGGAATTAAGCATCCTTTCTTTAAATATGATGGCATTTGAAGCTGCAGTCACAGGGCCATAAGCCATTTCTATCACCAGAAAGTTGCTAATTATCCGTCCAGCTAGCTAAGAAAGAAGCACTGAAATGTCAGGAGTTTTAATTTTTTTTATGGCTCTGAGCCAAAATAAATATACTACAGCATACATTTCTAAAGACATACCATAAGAAATCTCTGCGCATGAGTCCTTCCACACACAGAAAGAGAGAGAGAAAGTTATACAGTACACACACCCACACAGTCAGATCCGTGTGCTCACAGAATATATACTGTACAGTGTTGATTTTCCTCCGTTATACTTCTGTAAAAAGCAGACAGAACAGCACTGAGAACTTCGGATCGGTATTGTTCTCCTTGGCTTCTCTTGTGCGAAATTTCCAGTATCCCGGTTCCCCTATTCGGCAACTGCCCTGACCTGGGTAAGCCCAATCCTGGAAACTCAGCAGGGTCCAACCTGGATGGGAGACCACTCAGGGTTATCAAGGTTGCTACACAGAGGCAGGTGATGGCAACCCACCTCTGAATGCCCCTTGCCTTCAGAACTCGATGGGGGTGACCGTCAGTCTGCTGCGACTTGATGGCAAAAAACATAAAGCCAGCAACTAGTTTTTGACCCATTTTGAAACTTGGCTGGGAGGCAGGTTCAGCCCCCTTTCTTTCTCCATGGTGGTGTCTTGGTACATGCCACTGTCACCGGCACTACCTTCATACACCACTCGCACCTCCGGGATGGCATCAGGAATGGGCATCACTGGGTACTTGTCAGTGAGGCCTCACTGCCAACTCCTGACAAAGTGCAGTGATGCAGCAGCCACTGCAACCGGCCTCTGTTCTCCAGATGGCACGACTGGGTGGGGGCACCCTCTGAAATCATCCTCTCTTTGGTGCTGCCCCACACGGCCACCTAGGGGTGACAGCACTAAGTCCTCCTCCCTCCTCTTCCAGGTTCAGAACAGCGGCAGCAGTAGCCTGCCGTCGTGCTTGCACACCAGCAAGGATGAGCGGCCACATGAGCATGTGCTAGCGGTGCTGAGGAGCAACTGCTGCTCAGGAGGAGGAGCTGCTGTTTAGTGGGTGGCGTCCTCCAAAGGGCATCTTGCCTGGAGTTCACCAAGACCTGGAGTCAGCCCTGGACTGGCAACCAGAGGCCAGCTGGCGTTCCCAAAGAACCAGATCTGGCCCTGGAGCCAGCAGGGGCTACTCTCCAACCTCAACTAATATTCACAAGCCCCCCCCCCCTCTTTGAGACTATATTTGTTGCATCACCTTATTTATGGCATCTGTGCAAGGGCACGGCTGAATATCAACTCTGCAGAGACGGAACACTTCTTTAGACTTAGTTTCAGCACACAAGCAAGCCTTGTATTGTATTAGAAATTCTTTACTGAGCTTTGGAAAAATAAGAAATTTACCGCAGCCTCAAATAAATTACACATAATATACAATATATATATTTATACACTTACATGTGTATATGTACACATATATTGATATAGGATTGCCGTTTTACTTTTAAAGATTCCGTCTATCCTAAGCGACTTGCTCTAGAAATCTAGAAAACGGATTTGTGCAAAATTAAATAAAATAATTTTTACCGTTCTAAAGCATATAGAAAAATATAATTTGGCTAAAGAAACCTTGAAATATTTTAATTTCAAGACAATTTCCTTTAGGATTAAAACGACGTCCTGGGACACGGCCAAAGCCAGCCCCCCCCTGTGGCCACCGGTGCCCCCACTGCCCCCTTTCTGGGGCACACCCACTGCAGGGCTCCTTCCAGTGGGCTGGACCCAGAGGGCAAATCCCACTCCCACGGGAGGAAGCCAACTGCATAAACTGCACAGCCTGCGGGCGGTTGGGGCCCCCCAGCGGGGCCTGAAACCCTGCGCACACCTTGAGCCTCTCCAATACAGAAGCACATCCAGTCATCGAAGTGGAGCCCAGGGGTCCATGCCTTGCGCAGTCAGATTAAAGGGTGATGGATGTACCACTTATCCCTTTGATCAATTCCTCTCCAGGTCCTCTTTGTTTTTGAAAGACATGCCTCTGCTGTAGGACTTTGACTTATTTATATCGTTCACTCTTGGGGAAGTGTTGAAGCAACAGCCCTATCCCGAGTTCTCTACATCAAATAGATATACTATGATATTCTCTGTATAAGTTAGCCAGTATATTTTTGAACAGACAATACAAACAGCCACACTTTCAAAACACTGGATTAGAACTTTGGTTTAAATATCGGTGGATTTTCCCCCCTCCCTTTTATCATCTCCCTTTTAGGAAATAACCTCAGAAGCAATTTCTTACACCACATCACAGTGCCGTATCCTGCACACTGTTAAGCAGGGAAACAAAAGGCTTCTCAAGAGAGGGCTTTAGATGGGACATTCATATTCTATATAAAGCTTCCAATTTAAATACCCATCCTATTCTTTAGAAAACATTTGTACGGTTAGTGTAGTACAGATACTGGTTCACAGCTGGGAAACCAGAGATTTATAAAAGACTGTTCTGTATCTCAGGTGATACAGTGAACTCTAAACAGAAAGACTTGCCTTATATTTACCATGGTCTGTTTAATGTAGTCTATTATTTACTTTTTTTCCTTGACTCCTGCCTCAGTACCTTGTTGCGTAGCAGTATACAGTACATCACATTGAATGATGAGAAAGCCCAACTCAGGGAGTCTACCATGATACATGTCAACAAAGTCTTTTTCAAGCAAGTAAAATAAAGCTAATCTTTTGTCAAATGTTGCATTTTCAATCATTTGTTAATTAAAAAAGGAAGTGTGTGTGTGCCGGAGCGGAGGGAGAGCATCGAGGAGGTCGAGAGGACGGCAGCGGAGTCCGTAAATGAACAGCATGACTTTGGTTGATACACGGAGACGGCCCAAAGAAGGGAGGTTCCCTCTCCTCCACAGCGGCCACATCTTTTGACTTTACATGGAGTGAGAGAAGAAATGCAGCTGAACAGGAGAAAGCAGAGACTGTTCCTTGAGGTCCCTCATCCACGCCAGCATAACCTCTGGAATCAGGGCCTCTTTATTAAAAAGAAACCCCGGAAAGTGTGAGAGAAGAAAGATGCCTCCATTTGTCCTGCAGAGAACAGCCACTCCCAATCTGTCACTCATTCTCTTCTCTCATTTCTACGATGTCCGTCATTTCCTCTGTCTGAGGCATGTCGGTCATTGCCGAGTCTTCACCTTCTGTAGCCGTCTCGTTGTCATTCCTCTTCTTTTTCTAGGTTACAGAGAAAAAAAGAGCAATGTGGCAGATGGCTAGCACTCTCGCGGGAGCTTAAATCAAGGGAACTCTTACTTCCAGTTCTCACTGTGGAGGGAAGCTGGCCTCCAGGCGGCACCATTCTCTGGAGTCCAGTGTTCCCTCTAAGCTGAGTCAGTGTGAGCTAGCTCACAGTTTTTTAGCCTCTGGCTCACACATTTTTGTCTTAGCTCAGGAAGGAGGGCTCCAGAGGAAACTTTTTGCAACAGCCAAATTGCTGGCTCACAGCTTTAATGCCAGTTGCTCACAAGGTAAAATTTTTGCTCACAAGACTCCACAGCTTAGAGGGAACATTGCTCTGAACTGCAGCCCAGATGGCCAAATGCTCCTCCACACCAAAAAATCCAATGCATGCAACAAACTAGATGTTAGGGAGAAAGCGAGGCTAGAACACTGCTCTACCAGTATGTGGGGACTGCAATGTTCCCTCTAAGCTGTGGAGTCTTGTGAGCAAAAATTCTACTTTGTGAGCTACTGGCATTAAAGTTGTGAGCAAGTGATTTGGCTACTGCATAAATTAGTTTGCTCTGGAGCCGTCCCTTCCTGAGCGAAGATGAAAATGTGTGAGCTGGAGACCAAAAAACCTATGAGCTAGCTCACCCTAACTCAGCTTAGAGGGAACACTGGTGGGGAGTTGATTTGTGTTTGTTTTGCTTGGAGAATCATTCAGTCATGTGGACTATAGCCTGGAAAGTACAAGCCAGACACGGCTTTATCCAAACATACTTCGTTTGTTATGCTTCACAGGTAGGAAACAACATACACACAAATAAGTTTGTGTGAATATAAATGTAGCAGAAACGTAAAGCATCTAGTACTGCCATTCTTAAAACTCCGGCTTGCCTCCGATAGCGGCTCTTTCCCTCCTTCAGGACTAACCCCTTTTCGGTGACTTAGACCTCCTTCCTTAGTTGGTACCTCCTGAAGGGAAGTAGGGTCACATCAGTTTCCTATATCACATACCACGGTGGCTTACCAGTCAGGCCCTTAACAGGCCCTTACCCTTAGGTAAGAACATCAGAAGAGCCACGCTGGATCAGGCTGAGGGGCCATCAGGTCCAGCATCCTGTCTCACACCGTGGCCAACCAGCTGCCTCTAGGAAGTCTGTGAGCCGGATGAGGGCCACGGCATCCTCCCCCCCCCCGGTACTCCCCAGCGCTGCAGCAGCGAGTTCTAGAATTTAACTGTGCACTGTGTGAAGGAGAACTTCCTCCGGTCTGTCCTGCATCTCCCACCCCTCAGCTTCAGTGGATGACCCCCGGGGAGGGTTTTTTTCCCCCCCTAGCACTATGGGAGAGGGAGAAAAGCCTCTCCCTGTCTCCACAACAGGCAGTTAAGTACAGCTATAACATCCATGAATGTACAGAAATGTGAACCCATTCAAATATGCAGGAATCACATCTTACAGTCCTTCTCGATGCCAATTCAAACATTTCGGCTCAGCTTGTAAGATTGCACAGTGAAATGTTCAATAAATAAAAGATAACGATTAACGAAAAGGGGAAATCCCTACTGACTCGTAGGCCAGACTGCCTCAGACGTGGAAAAGAAAATCCGGCTGTTAAGCAAATCAATGATTATAGGCCACAACAATATATAATCATATGAAACAGCGATCAATTAAACAACAACGAAATCAAGGTAGAAGCCAAGAAAAAAAAATAAAGACAGGCCTCTAGTGAGTAGGATGGATTAATATTCCTGGAATTCAAGAGGGATTTCTTTTAACTTCAGCAATCAGAGAAATGGTATGCAGAGATAATTCCTCTGTGCAAGTTACCACTAACCTCTTTCTGATAAACGTAACAGGCTGCTATTGCAACCATGGTGGATTCTCCAACAAAGCCAGCGAGAAGGGATCCGACTCCGAGGGTGGCTCCATGAACACTAAAAGCAGCAAAGGGAAAAGAGACAATCCAGCATCAGCCTTAATGATAACAGGGATGCTACAATAATGATAAAGCAGTCATTAAAACAACATAAAACCTTTCACATTGTTACAGTCGTGTGTACTGGGAGCCTGGCAACTACATGCATTAGAATGGATAAAAGGAAGTCCTTCTTCACCCAAAGAGTGATTAACACATGGAATTCACTGCCACAGGAAGTGGTGGCGGCTACAAGCATGGACGGCTTCAAAAGGGAATTAGATAAGCATATGGAGCAGAGGTCCATCAGTGGCTATTAGCCACAAGGTATAGATAGGGACTCTGGGGCAAGGGATGCTCTGTCTTCTTGGTGCTTGGGGGGGGGGGTCAACAGTGGGAGGGCTTCAAATGTCCTGGCCCCACTGGTGGACCTCCTGATGGCACCTGGTATTTCTGGCCACTGTGTGACACAGAGTGTTGGACTGGATGGGCCTTTGGCCTGATCCAACATTGGCGTCTCTTATGTTCTTATGATACACGTGATCACCATTTTGTCTGAAAGGAGAAACACATATTTTCAGCTTCAGTACATGTAAACCAGAACCCTGGGAAACGAGGGGGGGCAGGAGACCTCTTGCTGGCAGCCCTCTTCTCCCACCGCCAGTTAGTGGGCTGATGCTGCCATGATGACGTCACTTCCGGCACAGACCAGAAGTGACATCACTGCATAGGGGTGACACTCCAGCATTCGGCCAGGACTTTATGGTTAAAATGCAGAGATCAGTGTGGGCACTAAAATGTCGGCCCTCGCATCAATTCAGGACTAGGGTGATGATGAAGAATTCCCACCGATGCCAGTAAGTCTCACACTGGTTGCTAGCCTCGGGGTGGGAGGAGGGTAAAACACATGGCAAAACGTAACCACTGAAAATGGTTAGTCAGTTTTGTGGCTGCAACAGACTAAAACTATCTGTCTGTCTCCTGCAAGAACCCATTCCCCCTCACCAGCCTTCCCTCTGATGTCACGGCGTTGACTCACAGCTATTAAGAACAGAAGAGAAGCCATGCTGGATCAGGCCAATGGCCCATCCAGGACAACACTCTGTGCCACACAGTGGCCAACTCTCAGGTGCCACCAAGAGGTCCACCAGTAGGGCTAGAACTACAGAAGTCCTCCCACTGTGGCCCCCCAAGCACCCAGAATCCAGAGCATCACTGCCCCAAACAGAATATTCCATCTATTAACGCAGAAGGAATTGTATCCCAGCAGGACAGCCGCAGTGAGAGAAGAAAATGGCTGACTCTTGGCCCTCAGAAACTGCTCACGTGGAAAGACTTGGGAAGGGGTAGTGCTAGTGTTTTAAGGATGGCAGAGAGACACCGTACGGCTTCCTACAAAGCTATTTTATAATAACATTCTGTGCTGTGGGTGTGATTTTTTGAAAAATAAAGTGAGGGGGAGGGGACCAGGTGGCAGCTCTGTGGTATGATCAGTCGAGCGGGCTGGGCCAAAAGTGACCTGACTGTGCTGTGGGCGAGCGATCCGCCTCCTAACAATCTCAGAGGTTATAAAAGACCTGCCTGGCTGTGGAGTGGGGCCTGGGAGGAAGCCTTGGCGTGGAAGGCGACACAGAGAAGCTTACCGGGGTGCGTCAGCTCAGGAGCTTAGCACGGGCGCTCAGAAGGTGGGTGCCACCTGCCCCAGGGGTCACTCATTCGTGCGAGATGGAGATGCTGAACAGATCCCCATTAGAACCAGAGTTATCAACACCTTGCACCCCTCCATCAGACCCAGGGCGGGGGGAGATGCAGAGAATCACTGAAAGGGTGTCCTAGAGCACCACTGTGGGCTGTGTCGCCCAAAGCAATCTTCCCGTGTTGCAGGACACTCTAGGATCTATCCCAAATCCTATTTTTTAAAAATTGTAGAGTTTTCAGGAACCCCACGATGCAGTGATGTCACCTCCAGTTCTGCAGACAGAAATGATGGCTGTGGTGTCCTGGGATGCCCCTCCGGCCCCTCCCTGGCCCCCCACTAACTGAGCAAGGGTGGGCAGTGGAGGGAGGGTGGCGTGGGAGCTCTCCTGCCCTCAGTGGGCAGTTGGCAACCCTCCCTCTTGTGGACCTAGCCAATTTCGTGCGCCGCACCTGGGAACGCCACAGAAGTGTTTGAGGGAGCGTCCTGGTACTGATGGGCGGAGAGGGGAGGAGCTTCAGGAGAGAGGGCGGCAGAAGAGCTACTCAGGGCAGCCGCCTTGGGCACAGACGCTCAGCCTAACCCACCTCAGAGGGCTGTTGTGAGAGCAAACCGGAAGAGAGGAGAATGACGTAAGCCGCTTTGGGGACCCCAGTGGGGAGAAAGGCGGGGTGTGAATGAAGTCAATAAATAAACAGCTGTCCCTGGATCACGACAGGAGTTGCAGCACAGCCCTGCCCTGGATGCTGTGTCTGAACAGATGCAGGTTTAATGGGTCGTGTCGAAGCTTCCCATTAATAAATGAGGGTACTGGAGAGCCCAAACTGGCCGGATCCCATCAGCTCTCGGAAGCTCCGCAGGGTCGGCCCTGGGTAGTATTTGGATGGGAGGACCTCCAAGGAACACCAGGGGCACAACGGTGGAGGCGGGCCATGGCAGACCCCCTCTCTGGACCTCCCTTGCCTCGAAACCCCTCTGGGGTCGCCAGACGTCGGCTGTGACTTGACCATCAACGCAACAAACGGATGACTTTCACCCCTCCTCCTGTCTGCCCGTGAAACAGACTGTCTGCACAGCACTCGCAAGGCAGATGGATAATGCGGTGGGTCCATGTTGCCTATTGGGAGGGGGTGGGGGTTTGCGCTGGACTGCCGGGGGGAATGGCAGAGAGAAAAAGGGGGGGACTTACCCCAAGTAAGGCAGCACAATCAGGCTGGTGATGAGAACGATGATCCGCAGCACGGAGCTCGGGGCCAGCACAAACGTCTTTTTCAGGGTCATCAGCCATCCTGTCAAGTGTGCCCTGACTGTGACTGTAAGGGGAAAGAATCATCGGATGTCAGCTTCAGAGAGCCTCCGTGCTTGGCTGCATCTCCCGCCTGCAGCAGAGATGGTTTTTGCTCTCTCTGTTAAAACACACCCCATGTGGGCCCCTCAGAGATCATATGGTCACACGTGCCTGATAAAAGTTCATGGTTTGCATGACAAAGGCCCCGGTCACACTGGGGGAAAAGGTGCGGCTGAAGTGCGGCTTTTTGAGCCACATCAAAAGAGAAGTGCGGCGGCGGGATCAGACAGATCCCCCGAGCCGCCGCACATAGGCTCCCCAGCGCGATCAGATGCGAGAGGGACGCCACGGACAGTAGAACAAGGTGAGGCAGCTGTGCACATGTGCGCCTGCGCTGTTTGGCAGGGGGCCTCGCATGCTGCTGGAGACGGGCGCGCCGGCGATCACACGGCTGCCCTGTTTCCTGTAAGTAGTAGTGTTTTATAGGGCTTTTTTTTTAATCCGCATCTTCGGCTGGAAGAGACAGATTGGGGGCGGGGGCGTGCCGCTTCCCAGATGTTGCGGTGTGATCGCGCCCGCTTGATGCGCCCCCGATCCGTCCCTCTCGCGGATCAAAGCCTCCCGTGTGACCGGGGCCATGGTTCAAGCTCATCGGGGGTTATTATTATAATGGTTCAGTTCAACGAAATCAATATCATTTGTGAGATGGGAACACCTTAGGCTGAGCTGTTTGACAGTATGATTGTAATGTCCGTCCACAAACTGAAGTGTGACGTGTGAGCCAAACTCCAGTTCCCTGTACTGCAAGACAAAAACAATAAATTGGACACATTCTCCACCACAGCCCTTACTCCTTCTGAGTGAACTATCATAGAGTCATGGCGGTCTCTCCAGCTGAACTTTACCCGGTAACTCCGCAAAGCAATGGGATGAACAGGCACATGTTTTAAGTTCCCTGCCTCCCTCACACATTTCCCTCATACCTGGAACTGGGAAGAAGGAGAAGATACGCAAAGGAATGACACAGAGCTCCGCAAAGGCAAAATCCACTCCTATTATGTCAACTAATATCTTCTCTGACACGTTTGGAGTCCAAAACATCACAAAGCAGAGCTGGGGAGAAAGACCAGAAAGAAAACAATAAGGACTGGGCCACATCCCACACCTTTCAGTTAACTCAGCCTTTGACACTATTTATTGGCTTCGACAGATGACCCTTTGAAGCCTCCTTCGTTCTTACGTGTTGCTGAAACTTTTGGCAGTACCGCTGCGATGCCGTCTTGTCTAAGAGTAAACCTCACCCTCTCTCAAGGAATTCCATCCCAATTTTTAAGAAATGTACTCTTTTTTTTAACAGATAATTTTTATTCATTTTTATAAACAGCAAAGATTTACAAGGTAAGCATGAGCGTAGTCAGCTCTCAATGGCTTTGTACATTTCGTACAATTTGTCGGTATTATACAGTTTGAAAATTACCATAGATGCAGAGTGTTTAGTACACCAGGTACTGTTTCTTTGGTAGATAGATGTACTAGTATGGGGTACCATATACATACAATGTCATTCTGACCACCTCTAGATAGATTTTGTTTCAGAGTATCTGAGACTGGGCCTGAAGGAACCACCAGAGAGCAGCAAGCATGGCTCCAAAAGGAAACACATGAGCTCAAACACCCCGGAAAAAAGCAGCCGGAGTCATACAGAGTTTTAAAATGTGCACCAAACACAAGATCAGGGCTATTTTTGGGCAGGAACGCACAGGAACGGACTTCCGGCTGGCTCCCAAGTTGGCCACGCCCAGCAAGAACTCATTAGCATAATAGGCCACACCCAACAGCAGGAACTCATTCGGATTGGCTACGTTAGGGGTGTGTGGCCTAACATGCAAAGAAGTTCCTGCTACAAAAAATAACTCTGGGTTTTGACAACAAACAAGGTAAACAGAATAAGAAGCAAAAGGTGGGTGTGGCTGGATGACCACACTTCAGGTAACACGGGGTGTGTGGCCTAATATGCTAATGTGATGTACTGTCAAGGGTGCGGCCTAATATGCTAATGAGTGTCTGCTGTTGGGTGTGGCCTATTATGCTAATGAGTTCCTGCTGGGCATTTTCTACAAAAAAAGCCCTGATTCAGTGTACGAGCTTTTGTGTGCGTGCCACACTCCCTCAGATACAAAGAAGATACAAAAAGGTACCTGAAGAAGTGTGCCGTGTACACGACAGCTCATACCTTCCATAAAACTTGGTTGGTCTTAAAGGTGCCACTGACTGGACTCAAACTTTGTTCAATTGCATTCAAAGTTATTACACTCCGGCAAACTTTGCCTTCTCGATGTACAGTCAAGCTAGGAACCTGTTCAGCAGCATCACTTAGTGATGGCCGGCCTATTTTCAGAAACTGAGGAGGCTGCTCCATACAACACATGATGTTTTAGCAATGCTATGAAATGCTACCATGCGCTCAACAGGGCCTTAAGATTAGCCATGAACGTTGCTGGAGAAGGTACAGTGCTCTCCAGTCTCAGCAGAGGGCTTACTGGCCAGTGCCAATAAAGTCACACTGGATAAGCCCTACAGCCATTTCTGTGCTGTGTGGTTTATCTGACTGGCTACTCGTTTAACGTACCACATTTGCGTTTCCCTCCTCCTCTTAAGAAGCACAGTCAGTGTCCCCAGTATCCCACTCAAGGCAACCCCGTGAGGTCAGTCCAGTCTGAGAGGCAGCAGCCAGACCTCCACGGGCGGGAGGGGAATGTGAGTCTAGGTCTCCAGGGCCCCAGGCAAACCGGCTGCTCACTGCATTCAGGGCCGGCCCCAGCTTATTTTGCACCCTAGGAAGATCTCTTCTCGCCCCCCCCCCCCCCCGTGCGCCCACCAATTTCCAAAAATAAATGCATTTTAGGAAGAATGAAAAACACAAATAATCAATAAACTTCCAGAGTACGGGGCTGGGTTCAGTTTGGCACCCCTAAGGGCCGTCCCACTCTAGGCGATCGCCTAGTTCGCCTAGTGAGTGAGCCGGCCCTGACTGCATCTCACTGGCCTTCCTGCACCACACTGGCCAGTTACAGCAATAGAGGCTTTCCAGTTCTCTCGCCACCGTCACTCCTAGAACAGCCCTGTCAATGGAACATTCTCCTTTTCTGCCATGAGCTTAATTATCCAGCTACTGCAATGGCGCTCATGCACTTTTTCTCCCTAGGAACCAATCGTATGAGACCTAAAAGGTGACCTTGCTATTGAAAGCAGAGACTAAGCTGCAGAGAATGCAGATGAATGGCAGCTGAGCACACCACTGTCCAATTAAAAACCGCTTTGGAATCACTGTAATCTTATTTTACACACAGACACACACACTGGACATGGAGAATTAAATAAGTTCAAGGTTGTTGTTTGTTAAGCTCTCCCTTTTACTGCTCTAATTCTAGAAAGAGATTTTCCCACTGCCATGGTTGAAGAGAAGACATTTGAGAGGATTTGCAGGTTGACAAATATCTGCAATTGTAACAGCATTGTAGTCTGCAGATTTAAAGCTCAGTATATTCAGAGGAGAATAAACGAACGTTTTCTTGCACAGAAAAGTCCTTATGAAATGCAATTCCCATTGTATATCAAGACTCTCTTACACTTTCTAAAGGCAATAAGGGTAAAGGTTTCCCTTGCTCGGAAGCCAGTCAAACCTGACTCTAGGGGGCAGTGCTCATCTCCATTTCCAAGCAGAAGAGCCAGCACTGTCCAGAGACTTCTCCGTGGTCATGTGGCCGGCATGACTACATGCCGAGGCGCACGGAATTCTGTCACCTTCGAACGGCTAGGTTGGCAGGAGCTGGGGCCAGAGATGGGAGCTCACTCCGTCATGCAGCACTCGGGTCTCGAACTGCCGAACTACAGACCTTCCGGTCTGCAGCTCAGCATCTTAACCACTTGAGCGACCGCGGCCCCTCTAAAGGCAATAGGATGTTACATCTGTCATGCAACGTATTTCTCTTGTTTGTTAGGGGATCTGAGATCTCTGTGTTTAGGAATAACAAAAACTCAGTTACTTTAAGGTCTTGCCACAGGAGCCGGGACACAGAACAAACTTATATGGGTAATTATTTCTACATATTTGACAAGTTACACTTCAGTAAGTTCCTTGTTCCCACACTGGATATAAATGCCAGCTATTCTTCTCTGTACAAACAGAGCTCCCATGAAAGGGGTCCCATGTTAATTCTGATTATTTAGGTATAACTGGGCAATGAAGAAAAACACTCTTCTGCTCAAAAAGTCCATGGGCAAGTTTGCTCTAGAAGAAGCAAATAAGTTGCACAAATGACGTTACATTCTGAAAACGTTTCACACAGTTAACTGGAGATTACACTGTAATCTTATTCTGTTTACCTTGTTTGTTGTCAAAACCCAGAGCTTTTTTTGTAGCAGGAACTTCTTTGCATGTTAGGCCACACACCCCTAATGTAGCCAATCCTAATGAGTTTCTGCTGTTGGGTGTGGCCTATTATGCTAATGAGTTCCAGATGGGCGTGGCCAACTCAGGAGCCAGCCGGAACTCCGTTCCTGTGCATTCCTGTCCAAAAATAGCC